GAAGTTAGAAGATTTATATGTGGCAACTAATGTTTCCTCTTGTGCTCTAGCTAGTTCAACCGCCTCAGCCATAGTTGTAGGCAATTGATCAAAAACTCGGCCTAGGCGGGCGCCTAGGCGCCGCCTAATCGCTGGGTGGTGGTATACTGAGGCGAAAAACACATAATCGGGCATGTTAGTCGGAGAACCGCGTAATCGGCCGCCCAGACCGCCTACGCGGCCAAATCGCCCAAATCGCCGATTTAGGGTTGTCGGCCAATTACTTCTTTTAACCTTCTAAGCCAAATGAAATTTCATTTTGCCGCTTCGAATTTTCTTCTGGTGTACGACTTCTGCTCGTTTCCCTTTCTAGCGCCGTTCATCTCAATCATCTCAAGACCCTCATTGCTTCTCTTTCCGTTTCCGACACAGGTACCCTTTTTCTCAAACGTGACACAGTTATTCCGTTTCCCTTAGGACTCCTTACTAAATTTGCTCAAACAGCTTAAGGTTTTTTTTATAGTGAACGATGATTAAATATGTTACTCCTTGCTAAATTGCTACTGATAATGCCTCATTTGGAGTTGGGGTTGTTAATTATTCAACTATATTTGGGTTATGGAGGTTCTTTATAGTCTGTAATGAGGTCAACAAATTCGGTTATATTCTGGTTTTGTGTTTTAACTTTTAATTCTTTAAAACGTTGCTGATATAATATGTTACTGCTAGCATGGCAATCATTTATGCATACTCTGTTAGCTAGGCAGTTACATGCTTCAATTCATTGAACATTTGAACTATTGAAGTATCTCTGCATTAAAAAAAACATCAAGTCAGCCCAACTTATAGGCTTCACTTAGCCAGTGATACCTATTATATTAAGTATTAAGTTATTAACACTCTAGTTTGAGACAATAATTTTTGAAATGTGCTTTCTGCAGATTGATAAAACATCTAATGTTGTTTAAAGCTTTACAAAGTACTGATAAAGTATTTAGTAGCTACTCAATTTTATAACAAAATATATTGGTATGCACTTTCACTATATTTTATTTAGCAGATTGTATTGAACTAATGACTTTTATTAATTTTCAGGTATGGATTCTTCAAGTGCGTCTGCCCCACAATCACAAGCTTCTTCCGATGTGGTTTCTTCTCTACCAAAGCGTAATTCAGAAGATGTTGGATGGAAATATGGGATGTTATGTGATCCCAAAAATTTGGACCGGGTAAGGTGCATATCGTGTTCCAAAAGTATGTCAGGAGGAGTGTACAGAATGAAAGAGCATATTGCTCATATCACTGGAAACGTTGCTCCGTGTCCAAAAGCAACAAAAGAAGATCAAGAAATATGCCGAAATGCAATAATGAATGCAAGGAACAAGAAAAGAAAAAAGAAAAAAGAAGAAGATATGCTTAGAGCTGAGGTTAATATTGATGATAGGCAACAGTTGGAAGATGATTTGGAAGAAGAGCTAGGAGTCTTGAAGGGTCCTAATTTTCTCGGACCAATGGATAAGTTTGCAACAGTCATTAATCCTGAAGCTTCTTTAGGTGTTTCAAAAAAACAACAGGTGATCACAGACACACTTTTTAAGGAGAGAACACACTCTGTGCAGCAATATTGCTCTCGATGGGTGTACGAAGCAGGTATTCCTTTCAACGCTATTGATAATGATAGTTTTAAATTATTTTGTGAGGCCCTAGGACAGTTTGGACCTGATTGGGTACCTCCAACCCAATATCAGTTGAGAGAGACCTTATTGAAAGAAGAAGTTGAGAGGACTAAGGGACTGCTTAAGGGCCATGAAGAAGAATGGGCACGAAATGGGTGTTCTATAATGACTGATGCATGGACTGATAGAAAAAAGCGGAGCATAATGAATTTATGTGTTAATTGTAAGGAAGGTACGTGTTTTCTTTCTTCCCTAGATGCTTCAAATGAATCTCATACCGGAGAATTCATATTTGAATATGTGGACAAGTGCATTCAAGAAGTTGGGCCAGAAAATGTTGTCCAGATTGTTACCGATAATGCTACAAACAACGTATTAGCAGCAAAGTATTTGAAGGAGAAGAGGCCTAACATTTTCTGGTCGGGATGTGCTGCTCACACGATTGATCTCATGCTTGAAGGAATTTCCAAGTTGCCTAAATTTAAGAAAGTCATTGATCAAGCAAAGACTCTCACTATTTATATTTACGCTCATCATAAAACCTTGGCAATGATGAGATCTTTTACAAAGAAAAGAGATATCGTGCGACCCGGAATCACGAGATTTGCTACATGCTTCTTGACTTTGCAAAGTTTACTTGAAAAGAAATCTCAATTGAAGTCCATGTTTGGGAGTGATGACTGGGACCAATGCAATCACTCAAAAACAGTCAAGGGGAAGCAAGCTTTAGCAACTGTAATGAGTACGGCTTTTTGGAATTCCTTAAGTTTATGCTTGAACATTTATGCTCCTTTGGTGAATGTCCTTCGGTTTGCAGATGGGGATAAGCCAACAATGGGTTTCATTTATGGAAAACTATTGGAGGCAAAGAATTCTATAAAGGAAGCTAGTAATAATCTTGAGAGAAACTTCCAGCTTATATTTGCTATTATTGAGGAAAAACAAAAAGATAGGCTAGATAGTCACTTGCATCTTACTGCTTACCTTTTGAATCCTTATTATTTCTATAAGGATGTAAACATTCAATTGGATGAGTTGGTTATGGATGGATTTCTCAATTGTGTTGAGACTTTTTATTATGGGGATATCGAGAAGCAAAGTGAAGTTGTCAATAATGAAATCAATGTGTACAAGAACAAGGGAGGACATTTTGGAAGAGCACTGGCAATTAAGGGATGTCAAGTAAATGATGGAAAGTTTGATCCAGGTCTAGTTTTTCACTTTCAAGTTCTATCATTTCTTTTCAATGCATCTGATTATTTACTTTTTATTACTGTTTTAAAGTTGTTTTTATTTATACTTAAGAGGCTTAGATGCATAGTATAGAATCCCAGTATGTTTGAGAGTTGATAAAATAGAACAAACTTCACATCTTGAAAAATCAGCCTGATATACATACAAAATCTGCCTGCATACTATAAAAGTAATAAAACCCATATTCCTGTAATGATAAAAAAACTCATTTGCCTGCATGGAACAGTTCCAGTAGCTAACTAGCTATAGTAGCACTTTTACACTTTATGCTTTATATGTTCATATGATTTTTTTCTCCCTCAATCTTTTCATAAATATTTTCTTCCAGCCAATTGGTGGACAACGTACGGACATCAAGTGCCTAATTTGCAGAGATTAGCTATCAAGATCTTGTCTTTAACTAGTAGTTCATCCGGGTGTGAACGAAACTGGAGTACTTTTGAATGGGTGAGTAATTTGAACTTTCACTACTTTACTTTAAAGTTTTACAACTTAACTTACTTCAGAAGTAGATTATACATTTTCGTATCCAAAATAATTTTATTATTTAAGCATTGATTTTTTTTAATGTTTAGATTCATTCGAAGAAAAGAAACAGATTAGATGTGAAGCGTCTAAACAGTCTTGTTTATGTCCAATTTAATGCAAAACTGTTGAAAAGGAAAAAGAAAGAAATGGATGAGTATATTGATCTACTAGCAAGTGATGCTAGGAATGCACAAGGATGGTTGGTTGATGTCAATGAAACAATTGAAGAGATTAATCATGTTGTTGATGAAGCTTCCGACGGAAATGAACTGTCCCAACCACGAAGAAGTGCTAGACTTAGAGAACTATATGACGACGACTTTGAATCAGATTCAGAAGACACAAATATGGACATGGATTTTCTCTTGGATGAAGAGGATGAAATGACATAGGGCACTGGAGTTGATTGCTTCATGGATTGTCCGTTTGTGCTAATCAAATATTCAAATGTGTTGATGGTTGACTGTGTGCAGTTGTTTTTGCAGTATGTGATCACTGCTAATGTAGTTTTTAACTAATATTTCTGATTTTTGGGTGAACAATAGTTGCTTTTTGCTTGATCATTATTGTCATGAAGAATGTCTTATTTTTGGGGAATCATGAACAATGTATTATGATTTGTGCAGTTGCATACAACTGAATTTGCAATAGTATTTCAGATATGTTAGAAGCTAGAATAGTATTTCAGTCTCTAAAAATTAGAACAGCATTTCAGTTTTGTCAGAACTTAGAATCTTGCATACACCTGGCCGTTTGGTGCCCAGAAGGATGAGCCCAGATTGAAGTTTAAACTTCCATTTGAACAAAGATCTATGTTCTCAAATTTGAAGGAAATGTTGACCATTAAGTTCTCAAAAAACTTTACTTCCAAAAAAGCAGTATAGTTAAGACTTCTTATATATTCTATGCACTTTTGACACCATATTCCTAGTATTCTGCTACAAAAAAACTTTGTGTAGTATAATTAATAATACTTTTTTTATCATTTATATGAGTACAATTCTAGGAAAATAAAAATAAAAACTAAATATCTAGGCGGCGCCTAGTCGGCGCCTAGTCGGCGCCTAGGCGCCCTAGGCGCTAGGCGGTGCCCCGGCGCCCGACTAGCGCCTAGCGAGTTCTAGAACATTGGTTGTAGGTTTCGTGATTCTCACAAATGCTTTCAGATATGATTTCAATCCTCCAATAAAACGGTCTAAAAAATATTTTTCAGATAAAAGATGAGATCTTTTTATCAAACTTTTGAGTTCTTTAAATTCATCAATATAAGCATCAAGGGTGGGTTTCTGTTGACATCTATTAAATTCTTTCAACCACATCTCTTTCCATATAAGTTCTAAATCTAGCTGTTATATCTTCTTCAAATTCTAGCTAGCTTACATCAATTTTATCAGCTAAATAATTGGTTACCCAAATTTCGGCCTTCATAGACATATTCAAAGAAGCAATATCAACCTTTTGTTCCTCAGGTATTTGACACAAAGCAAAATATTTCTACACTTCTTTATCTACATACTACTGTTATTACCATCAAAATGAGGGAATTCAAGTTTAGGAATATACCCCAGTGATTTAGTATGGTTTCTCCCTTTGTCGCTGTGATGAATGAAATTTGGTGAGTTCAAAGAAGAATCTTTATCAACTTTCTTTTGTAAATCCATTACAACAACAATTGTTGAAATTGTTGTTGATATCTTGTTGGAATTGCAAATTTTATTAAGCGAGAGCTTGTAATTGCTCCTCCATGGCTTCAATGGCGGCTTAACCAATGTAACATGAGCTTTACTTGACTGTTAGTGGCGACTACGTTTGTTAAAAGATAAACGTCATAACTAACTGGAAGGAACGTAAAATGTTTGGAATAGTGATGAACTGCTTTTATTGATACTTCCCAGCATTATTTATAGACATGTATCATAGCTACTTCTAACAGTTATATCAACAACTTTACAACTGATTCTCAACTACTAGCTAGTAATACTAATGGTAGGTAAAACTACCGTTACAATGGATCATGTAACTCATAACAAGTAAAATGTTATAATTTTTCAAATTCAACACAACCAAAATGTAAAATGAGCAAAGTGTACTACTGATTATTTTCCCAATTTTTTATAAAGTGTATGAGAGGTCTCGTGTTCGAAACCCACTAGCACCTAAGGGAAGATGAGGGAGGTCTTGCTCCCAAAGATTCTTCCTACCTTCACGGAGTTGCTCAGCGGCTAACGAGGGAGAGGATGGTAATGCAGTTTAGCGGATTCGCGTGGTAGGAGTACTACCCTGTTACAGCCTGGCGCACAAGTGATGGATGTCCTGCTGGATTCGTCCTGTGAAACCAGTACCAACGAGGCTAACTGTGATCAGATCCAGATTTAACTGTCTAGGGGCTAGCTTTGGAGGGTAATTCATAGACTTCAGGATTAGGGGAGTGCAAGCACCGACACTTGTATTAAAAAAAAAACAGCGCAGGCTCGTGCCAGATAAAGAAAAAGAGTGGGTCCCATGATAATTGTAAATCCCAATTCTTTTTAAAGTTTTATAACTTTTTAATTGGAATTCAAAATTTATATAAAATATACCAAAATTCATTACTTTTTATGATCTTTCATATGACACGAATATCACATATATAGAGGTAAAGGAAAAAATATAACATTTCAACTCCTATTGATTTTTAGATCCAAAACTTTTCTTAAATAGTTTTCGGCTCAAAAATTCAAATCTCATGGTTAAAACATATTTTAATTTTTTTAATTACTTTTGTTAAAAAAAGGCTTGAAGTAACGATAAAAAAAAAATTAAACTCCAAATTTATTTATTTTTAGCAAAAAGTAATGAAAATACCCCAAACTCTGAAGGGGTGTGAGGTAAGCACCCTGATAATATGGACCCGGACCCATGGCTTACATACTCAAGGGATCAAATATAAAAGACTGGCGCCCACATGGCACTCCGTCGGCCAGATGGTCCTCCATCGGCCGAAACCAAAAAATACTCAGAGTATAGCCCAGAAGCCCAGAAGTGAAAGTGGTCCTCCGTCGGTTAGGCACTCCGTCGGCCTGGTCACCCGTCGGCCAGAAATGCTCTGACAGAATGATATTCTATACTTAGTCAAATAAATCATGCACTCAACTCATAAGAGACCTTATTATTGTAATGGGCCTCCTAAGCCCAAGGCTAGGAGCCCAAATCTACATCCCCCTATAAATAGCCCCCTAGGGGTAGTTGTAGGGGGTTGAGAAATATTAATTCTCACTTTCTCTCTCTCTAGCTCTCCTTTCTCTCTATGATTAATACTCTATCACTCTCCAAACTTGCATATGTAATTTAAATACCCCAAACTGTATATAAAAAGTTATTTAATTACCATGGCCATGTATTATTTCTTTTCAAATTGTTAATTTTTTGTGTTAATTTCATAATTTAAAATATTTTAGTATTCATGAAGATACAATTAACATTCTAAACTTCAATTTAAAAATAAATAGTATTACCCCCAACTTCTATATAATTGCAACTTTCTCAATTTGCTATTTTAAATTATGCAACTAACACCATAAACATACTTTTTTGAAATAAATAATACATGATCATGGTGTTAAAATAACTTTTTATATAAAGTTTTGGGTATTTAAATTACACATGCAAGTTTGGGATGTTTATCTCACACCTCTTCAAAGTTTGGAGTCTTTTAATTCTTTTTCCCTTATTTTTATAAGGAAATGTTTGTTTTTTAAAATCACAATTATTCGCAAAAAAAAGGCAAAAAAATTGATATATAATACTCTGTAGTAAAAGTATAATAATTAAAGGAAGCTTTAATTAAGAAAAATTTTACTGTGTGAATATATTTACAGTAATGGGTTGCAGCAAAAACTGAATTGACGGAGTTAATAGGTATAAATTGATACTCCGTAGTAAATTTGTTTTATTAACAGAGCTGGGTTGTGGTCAGCCTAAGCATTTCAATGTCTCGTCAACTTTTATTCATTGTTAATATTCCTTCCGTTTCACAAAGAAAGTCACACTTTCCTTTTTTGGATGTACCAAAATAAAAGTCACACTTCCCATTACTTCCCATTTAGGAAAGAAATCTATATCAATACAGTACAAATTAAAGCAAAACAGAGCCAAACAGTTTATTCTACAGTATAACTTACCCGCCGCAGTACAAAAAATCTTAATCTTTGTGAAATCAAAATGTGATTTTGATTGTGAAATGGAGGGAGTAGTTAATACGGAGTTTATGCTAGAGAGGTTACTTTCTCGAAACATATTTTGTTTCTTTACCTATGAAAAATAATCTACTCGTATTTGACAAAACATTGTCCCTATTTATTTGTAGGGATGGGATAAATCGACCCAAAACCCGATAACCGAACCGACCCAATCCGATATAAGACATTGGTCCGGGTTTTATTTTAAAAATGACCGGTCCGGGTTAAAATACCCGACCCGAACCTGGAAACTTGGGTCCTAATTCGGGTTCTAAAATTTTAAACCCGACCCGGACCGAAAAAACCCGATTTAATTAAGTAACTAAAAAATATATATTTTATATAAAATATGTATGACCTATTAATATATCATACCGATTTATACTATACATGTCCCAAATTGATTTGCAAAATTGATATTTTTAGTCAAACAATTCCAATTTATTCACTTAATTTGGATGTCAATTTTTAATTATATTTAATTTGAAGTTCGCAACTTTGAATAGATTTTAACGTAGTTTTTGAATATGTAAATTTTAACATTGATTGACAAAAAAATCTTGAATTTGTAAATCAATTTGGGACGGAGGGAATATTACTTTGTTTTCGAACCAATTGTTCTTCCACAACATTTTCTATGGTGTGATTTATTTAGATTCAAAATATATTGCTTTGGTTTTAACATACTTATATTTTTTATTAAATGTTCAGATATTAGCATTTTTTTGTGATTGTATTTCAATTGTTTTAAGATATCTCAGTTCGATTTTTTTCGGGTTCGACCCAACCTGACCCGAACCCGAGGCTCTTAAAACCCAGACCAACCCGAAAGTTTTGGTCCTCCGGTCGGGTTCAAAAATGTAGAACCCGAAACTTTTAGGGGGTTTTACGGTCCTAGCCAAAACCCGACCCAACCTGATCCCACCCCTATTTATTTGTCTTTATAATTCCCGTTTTAACGGCTACCGTTAAAATCAAACAAAATAAAAATATCAACCGCAACACATATCCTTAGTCATGGCCTCTTGGGCGTAGACAAGGTGGCCAACATATAAAAAATTACTAGTATATACATAGTATGTTATTTCTGAACATTTTAAAAAATTATATCCATGAGTTTTTTATCTGCATGTTTTCTCTTTTCAAACTGTTATGGGTTCTGCCCATGTTTTCAATATACTATCTATTTGTTTGATACTTTGATTCCTACACAAGCAGGGCCAGTTATGAACAAGTTAAAAAATTCTGTAGATAAAGCTCACTAATTAAGAGGGTATCCATTTTTTTAAATTTTAGTGATTACTGTAGTAATATTCTATAGTAATAGTCCCGCCGTTCTTTATTAATTGTCTTGTATTCCTTTTTGGGACGTTTTTAATTATTTGTCTTTCTCTCCTATTTTGATAAGTTTTTTCAATAAAAATGTTTTTTTATCCTCACTTTTATTACTTTTACCTCTTTCTTTTTCCTATTTTCTTTTTTAAACACAAATCACTACACCTTTTGCATTACCTCTATTATTTTCTCCTCAAAACCAGTGCCAAAGTCTAAGGGAACACTTAGTAAAGAACGGATGGAATATCTATAGTTAATACATTTGAGAGATACAATTATAGAAAGTTTTTGCCATGTGTCATCTTCTAAATAATCATTTATTATAATATTATAATATGCTAGATTCTCTTTCTAATTTAGTACGTAGTATATATTAATGGTTACGGTGAGTTGCTTTAGGAGTTAAGTGAGATTAGAACTCTAATTACTATTTTTTTTTTAAAAACTCTAATTACTACGTAGTAGTAGAATTCTACGTCAAGTAGGTATCACTTCATGGGACTCCAATAAAAAAAACTCTCTATTTTTTAAATTGATATTACTTTTTCATTTGTAATTAAATTTTTATAAAAAATATATCAAATTCGTGATTTTTTATTATCTTTCATATGACGCCAATCTATCTATCTATAGATAATGCATTTGAAAGATACCATTATAGAAAGTTTTGCCATGTGTCACCTTCAATTCTAAGCAAACATTAATTATTATATTCTTTTTGCTCTTTCTAATTTAATACCTTAATTATTCTTCCGATACATTATTAGGGCATCCTCATTGGTAGGATTATTAAGAGATTAAATCGATGATGTGGCGGTTTTTTTAGAAAATTATCATTGAGTGATATGAATTATTTAATGAGATTATTTGGTACAATAATCTAAGATCAAAATATGAATCCGGATTATTTTTGGATTATTTGAAAAGTATATGTAATAGAGGTTAATGGAGGACAGAGAAAAAGCAGATTATTTGAATATGATGATTAAGAGACATAACCGAATTTTGAGATTATTTGAACATTAATTACGTAACAATATTTAGATGGTAAGAATCATAGAAAAAAATAATTATTAGAGATTATAGATGAAGATGCTCTTAGTACGTATTCAACTTAGATTAGAACTTATATGTTGCCATTAGTTTAGGACTAATCTACCGGTTGGAATCTTAGGTAACGCAATTATTTAAAAAAAACTTCCTAAAACTTTGCAATTCAAATAATAACATTCCATGTTTATTTTAAACTACAGTAACTTTTTTATGTGTATTCTGATGATTACAAAAATTACATTAAATTT